TGAAAACCTAGAACATTAAAAGCAAAACTAAATTACAGCCCTGAAAACGTTTGACGTGGTTCTTCGATAACAAAAAAAGCCACTTTTGGTCAGGCAAAGAGAGCCAGGAGTAAGCATCTGACTGGCTGTAGTTGAAACACCTGCACAATGGTAAATTAGTTCTTGTGGAGAGTATATTTTCCCCATGAATAGGAGATGGCAATCATATCTCCTCTGCTTGCTTCAAGCTTTCCATGATAGTCATTAGTCTCATGCAAGGCAACAGCATCTGACCTTGGTTACTGTGGCAACTGGTTGTGCATGGCAGCAACTGTAGGATATGGGTCCAGCCAGGCTTGCTCATCCTTTTTGCATTTGGGCTGTCAGAATGATCTTGTAATATGACATGTCTCATAAGGTAATGCTTTTTATTCCCAAGGAATCGATAGACTTAGCAGCCTTCAGGTTTCCTAGAAATAGCTTTCCACTTGGTACCCAGTCCTTCTCCTGTGTGGTGTTTTGACTACCCATCATCATTTGAATGATCTGATTAAGAAGAACCATTCCCCTGTCCCCTACTTCCCCCAAATATTGCTATGTTTTTACTATCACTTTACATGCAGCCAGGGCTTTTCTTGGGAACTGGAAAAATTGTGTGTGAAGTCCCTTCAGCTTAGGAAAGATACAGTGCTAGGGCCAGCAGACAAGGTCAGGATCAGTGAAAGAAAGAGTGGTACCAATGATAACCATTTCTCACTTTTTCTGGATTTGCCAGCCCTGCTGAGTCACATGCCAGGTTCCACCCACTGAATGGGTCAGGAAGGTGGCTGCGGTGGAGGGAAGCTCAGTGTAAAAGCTGGGATAGATGAAGTTGATAAAAACCTCTGTGTTCCAGTAAAGGTTTTAACCTATGGTTAAGCACACCTATGCTATGGTGTGCTTTAATCTAATAACACCTTGTGTTAGATGGGTCTAACACTGTAAGAATTGGTCCGTGGTGGACCACCCCGATTACCTGGAGTGGGTGTACACGGCGGGGAGCAGGCAGGGCCACTCCTCCTGGCGCAGGCTGACCCCCTGTGTCAGGACGAATGTGCACCGGAAAAGGAAGCCATCAGGGCCACTTCTCAGGATGCAGGCTGGCCCCCTGCATTGGGATGAGTTAGCACTTTCGTGGATATAAAAAGGCCTGGGGTTCAAGAGAGATTGGGAAGAGGGTGGATCCAACTACCTTCCATGGCTGATATTACCTCCCTGGGGACACCCGCAAAAGTAATGCCTGCCACCCTGTTCGCTCTCAATGCACCTCGGAGCTGGCCTCCTGGTCATTGAACAAATGTGTAGGTTGGTAAGAATCTGTGCCTAATCTGTTCTTTGGTAGCCTTTAGTTCTCTCTCTTTCTGGCTTGGGATATTCTCTGGATTTTACATCTGTTTTAGATCTGGTAATAAGCTTTCTAGTAGTTTGGGGTGTATATGTGTGGCTTATGTTCCTTATCCACCTGGAATGCTTTGATCCCTGGAACAAACCTTTAAATTGTTCTAAATTCTCAAGCCAAAACTCTTCCAGAGGTCTTTACCTTCACCTACAAGATCCAGCTAAAGTAGCTTCATGTATGTACAGGTTACAGTGGAAATGACAGCTGTTTTTCTGAGGCAGCTTTAGGGCTCTTCTGTGTTGTCACTGTGACAAAGAATGCAGTAGCTGAGGGTCTGGCTTTGAGATCTTGTCTCGTTTTATATAAGGTTTGTACTAAACTTAGAAGATGGGCTTGTCTAACTGTGCCCTGATTCCATGGTCACTTCTTGGTTTCTTCGTGTTCACACAAGTCTGAATGGTCTAGCTGCCCATCTTGATTTGAATTGTTGCCCATTACAGCAAGAGCTCAGATGTGCTCTCTGATCAATCTGTATGGCAGCCCACATAATTTAAAATGAGCCTAGTCATCAGCTTATGTTGCATTTGTACAACCGTAACGTTGACTTGATGGCTCTCCAGTCCCACTCCAAGGGCCATGTGGAATGAAGCTCTTTGACCTTCCTGGCACATCACAACCATTCAACGTCAGTCATGATTTGCTAGAACAATGATTGCAAAGAATACACAGCAGACATTTTATTAACTTGAAAGATTATACTTTCAACAGCATACTAGAAAGTAGTTTATCTAAGATGTGTTGTCTGTTACACCCACATTTGAATTTCAATACTCATCAGTTCATAAGCAGAAACAACTCCAGAGAAGGTAGAGACAGCATTTATGTTACGCTGTTTACTACTAGAAAGAAAACAGAGGAGCTTTCCTATTCTGCCTTACCTTGTCACACTACAGCCTCTGCTCACGGCTTTCTTCAAGGTTTTGGTCACATGTGCAGGCAAAATTACCTAGTACAGTGATACTGAGGAAGGCAGTTAGCTTTTTTTAGTACTTCAGGGACAAGTTCTACATTCTTCTTGTCCTTAGACTTGCCTGTCTTACCAGGGAGCAAACATTTTGAGAAGCTCTCTTCTTCTGAGTATACATTGACTAGCACAAAGTAGGTGAGGGATTTTAGACAGCTCTGCAAATATTAATCCCCACTGCAGCAATTTCCTCTTGCATGGTGTTGAGTATGCTTCATTCCTCCAGGTGTCACTAGGCACTGAGAGCTCTTACCTCAGAACCGGCTCCCAGTCACTATTTGATGCTTCTGATTCCTGTGGTGGGTAGACAGGCATGCATGTCTGCTTATACTGCTACAGAAGTTCTGACTTCAGGAGGAAGCTGTATGCAGATGGCCCCCTGCTCCTATGGGCTGGCTCACAGCAGTCTCTGTGGGGCTAAGCCAGCAAGAAGGCTCCAGTGGAAGGGTCAGAGCCTGTGGCAGCACATACTCATCCACTTGCAACAGGTGCTTCACCCCTCTCCTACACTTTCTGTTCCACAGCCCTACATAAGAAATGAAAAACCCTCACAGTGGTCCAGCGTATCAGATTTAAGTAAGTGGGAAGCTATTATATTTGGGGAATCTTTAGAAAGATAAGAACCTCTAGGCTTCCATAAACATTGACATTTTCTCTTCTGTGTTGAGGGAGGGGATGGGAGTTGCTCTGGCTGAAATGAACAAGAGGTGCAGTAAAATTCTCCTGTAGGCGGTTTGAGCCTTTCTAATACATTTCAGAGATTGCAGTAAAAGTAAATAGTGTTGTAACTGGTTTCTTAATATCTCATTAAGCTTTATAAGTGTGGGGGAAGGCAGAAAGGAAAAGAAGCAGGTTCATGTGTTTTGTGTTTTTTTGTTTTTGTTTTTGTTTTTTTTTCCCCACAAAGCTTGCAAACTAGCAATAATCCGTTGTTAACTCCTCACAGTATTTTCAGACATGTCTCTGATATGTTTCCTTGCACTTTTCTGATATGTTTCTTCTGCACCGTGGAAACATTAAATCTGTGTAGTTTGCCTGCATGTGAGGGGAAATCCTCTCTTCCTGATGCAGAACACGGAAATCAGAGGAAAAGGCATCAAGAGAATAAGTGCATGGCAGCAAAAACAACACAGCTGGAGGGCTGGGGGTAACAGCAAGTGGAACAGGAGGGAGGACAGACACAGACTTCAGAGAACAGTTGCAGGAAAACACACATCCTAGGACAGCTTTGAAAGAAACATTTGGTTAAGATTTAACAAGTTAATCACTGCATGTTGATAAATGTTAATAGTGGAATTAAAAATAATAAAGCAGTTTATCTCATTCCAAAATAATTAGCCTTAATGACATGTTTGTACAGCACATAGAAAAACATTTTGGTGGGAATCAGCCCAACATCTGTGTGTGCATAGTGTATATAATAGCAGTAAGTCCTAGTAAAATGTCTGACAGATGTGGGATCATTGGCTTTGCTGGGACTTTTCCTGACATCTGAGCACCAGCTTTGATTTTCTTCAGGGTCTGCAGGTGCTAATGTTTCTGAAAAAGAAGATCATTTCTCTGTATTCTCCCCTATGTATGCCTGTTGTATTAGCCCTGTTCTGCATCTTGAGAAACAAGAGGTGTAATAGGACCTCATCAGGATGCTTAGGGAACACTGTCGGCCTTTGGAGTCTGACTCCTTAGTCACTGTGGCAAGTTTTATGCAGGTTTCCCATCCTGCTCGGCTCCTCTGTATCACATGTTTGATTAATATTGTAATAATGCCCTTCTGCTGGATGATAAGTGGGATTAATTCCCTTTGGGACTGTTGTGAAGACATTTAGTGTGTGTGTAATTCAGTTTCTTTAAACACAAGGAGAAGTTACTACAGTTTTTCCTGCTGTTTGTATTCAGTCACTACAGCACTCAGTCAAATCAATGGTGGTGCAAACTGAGGGGTAACTATGAAATGGTAGGGATTTCTCATCCAGGCATCTTAAGTAATTGAAGCTATCTACACAGAAATCTTGCTGAGTAAAACAAGGCAAAATATTATTAACTATGCCCCTCATAAAATCTAGTGAGCAGTAAGCATACTGGAAAAGATAATGAGTCTAGGTGAGTATTACCTGGAGATCCCTGGTTGAATAGCTCTTCTTAAATTACTCCTTCATTAATGACTGACTTGTACACTTATTGCCATCTTGGTTACTGCTGTAGGATGATAGTCAGATTACCTCTTTAACTTTGTCAGTCCAAGTGATCTGGACTAGCACACCCGGCTACCACCTTGACACATAGCTCTTTAACACATGAATGTAGTAAAACAAGGGGTTCAGCCTTTTCCCAGCTGCCCTCCTCTTTCAAATACAAATGTCTCCAGTGACAGCAGAGTAGACATCCTCACAACAGCAAGTTTAGCACATACCTTCCTGGTTTCTGCAGGCTATAGTGAACAAGCATCAGCATGTGTTTAAGCTGAAGCATTGCCTACCCTTTGTGTTGAGGGAGTCTCACCAGTGTTGCTCCTTTGCAAGTAGTTTTTGGGTGGAGATCTCATCAGCTGCACCTGGGTAAGTGAGGTGGAGGCCTTTTAAATGGTGGTGGTGACTATTTGTGTTGCTAAAAGTGAGAAGAATGGAGAAGGTTAGAGCTGTGGTGGTGTTGCCATTTTTCTTTTTTTGGTGCTCTGAGGATTCCTGGGTCAGATCCTTTGCTCAACTGGTACTCAGGTTCTTAGCCTTCATCTTCTGGGGCGCTGCTGCAGCTCTGACCTTTGGTGGAGTTTCTGGGATACAGATGCACAAGAACTATGGATATTTATTTCAGGAGTCTTTGTCTCTTCTTGGCTGGCTGGCTGTTGCAACTGCACTCATCTTGATACCTACAGGAGTTTTGGCTGTCTCTACTTCTACTAGGAGCTCCCGCTATCAGCAAGGGGCTCTCATGTACTTGCTGCTGGTTCTTCTTTGCCTAGAAATGTCTTTGGCACTTCTGGCATGGTTATACTCTATTCAGATGGCTTCTGAGCTGAAAAGCATTGTGGGTCACCTTATCTATCAGTACAATGGAACATACTCCCAGGGTCCTGGCAGAAGCGCTATGGATATTGTACAGAGGAAGATGCAGTGTTGTGGGGTCCAAAATTACACAGACTGGCTAAAGGCAACACCTGCCTCTTGGCATCTTCCTGGTGGAATAGCTCGTGTCCCTGAAAGCTGCTGTAAGAAGTATTCTAACTGTGAGGGTGACTTAGGCCATCTGGAGCAGCTTTTTCAGGAAGGCTGTCTAAAGAAGCTAGAACATCAGTTGCATTTTGTTATGCTCTACACTTTTTGGTGCTGTGCTGTGCTAAGTGTCTTAGAGCTGTTGGCTGGTGTCAGTAATGGCATCCTAATGAGGCATAAGCCTTTCCATGACCTCCGAATTCTGGAATCTGCCTTCTCATAGACCTGGAGACACTGGCAGCACTGCTGAAACTGCTGCCTGTTTCTTTGAACTTTGCAGCTGTTCTTGAAGAAAAATATTTTTTTTCTGTAAAATATATTTGCATGTAAATCAAACTGATCAATCAATTGTATTTCCACCCCTCTTACCACCCCACTCCCCTCCCTTAATGTTACAATATTAGGTCACTTTTTATTTGATAAGCATCCTGTACGTGGAAGAACTTCATTGCTGGAAGTCACAGCAGGGAGGGTAGGGTCTTCAGCATGTGCAAACATGAAACTACTGTTTCATATGGGTGGGGAGAAGTAGTAGATAGAAGTATGTCTTGCTCAGGGGATCATGTTGTCAGGTCATGACCTGAACTTTTGGAATAAATCTTAACTGTACTAGAATCTTGTAGACTAATTAAAGAGCAGATTCTTCACCTTCCAGGTTGTATTTGACATTTTGGTATTTCTAAAAGAAGCTCTTTGGATAAAGTTTAACACTTTTTCTTCTTCTCCTTCAAACAATGTTTTAAAAACTAACTTACTGTGCAGTGAAAATAAATGTCAACTTTTGAAGTGGTGTGAGTGTGCATTCTGAATAGAGAAGATATGTTTAAGAGCAGCAGAGGAACTAATAAGGTGATATATAGCAGGAGGTACAGTTTTCTTGGGAGTTGCACAGGAGCAACCCTGCATTTAAAGAGGAAGAAGAAAGTCTGTATTTATTAATTTATTTCATGTTAAAACAAGGAATTATTCAATTCTTTCCTGAAAAGTTTTGTGGGTCATTTATGCATGCTTGATGACCACAGCAATATGCTGCTTTTTCTTGAGGTATGTCTGTCCTACTCTTACTAAATCCTCTTACTTATTTTCTGTGGGTCTCACTCTAGCCTGCATGTGCTGAGAGAGACTAAGTCAGTGTATAGGCCATCCATATTCTTGTTTATGTCAGTGCTACTGGTGTTTAGGGAGGTGCTGGTAAAGGCTCTGCTCTACCTGTGCAGCGCATGGCTGTGTGTGCTGGTGCATAGATGTCTGTCTGGGAAATATTCTTAGCCCCGCTGCTGACCTGGGAATGGGAACTGCAGAGCTGCATCCTTTGGTATGCATACATAGGGAATTTCTAGGTTCTACAAGTACACCAGACTTTACCAGTCTGAGACTAAGGAAACTGCCTGGGTCACAAAAAACACTGGACTGGGGAACTCCTTTGGAAATGGAAGTAATAATCAGATAAATTATTATTATTTAGATTTTAAATTTTCTACCAAATGTCAGGAACTTTATGACAAATCTCAGACCCTAATTCACCAGGTACTGACTTCCATGGAAAAAAACCAGCAGATCATTTGGAGGATAAAAGGTAGGTCAGCTCTTGCAAGCTTATTAATAATTGTTTGGAAACCAAATATAAAATGTACTGCAGGGTTGCTTCATTAAAAACAAAAAAAACAAAGAAACACTCCACCCCACCCCCCAAAAGCCAGACTAAATCCCAACACCTTGATTTAGATAAAGGAGAAGAACTAATTTACCAGGAGTAATTCTTTTAAAAAAAAAAAGTCTAAAGCAAAAAAGCTGCGTTTTGAGTAATGTCTCAGAAGAAAAAATTTCTTTCAGTTTGCATGTCGGAGTACAATTTGTGTAGTTAAGCACTGCAACTGAGTCTTTATGGTTTTAGGGTACCCTGGCACATAAGTGTTCTGTGATGCAAAGTTATTGCTATGATATTACAAAGATGCAATGAAACTGAAGTGACAGCAACTGGACCAGGAATAAATTGAGTTTGTTATAAAAAAGGAAGGTGGAAGAGTGGAGTGGATGTGGTGCCTTTTTACCACCTGCCTTTCAGAAAGAGGGCATTTTTCTTCTCAGATTAATTCTTATCCCTTACAACTTTCTTCACATGTTCTGAGCCTGAATCTCTTAAAACAAGGGAATGCCCCTATTTTTCATCACTAAGGGGAAAGAAGCAATTTCAAAGTGGTTAAAGAGTAGAATTACTAATGTGGATGTCTTCATCTGTTTTCCAGTTGGCTAAAAGTCCAGAGCATGCATGGTTCCCTCTACAACTTTGTACTAACAAAATTATAAGATAAATATGAAATATATATTAAAAAAAAAATCTGTGGGACTTAACTATAGGAAACTACTTCTAGGAACTAATGTGTTTTCCCCTCCATACTAGATGTATCTCTGAAAGATCCGATCTTAAACCTGGTAAAATCAAAGGGGAGAGTGTGAGGATACATGAGATAGACCTAGAGATAGAAACTGTTGTTAATAGAGAGTTGCAAACCAAAACAATAGATTCATTACCCCTTTCTGTTTGTGTTGACTTGGGCAGTTGGATTCTGAATAGTTACCTCTGTAAGGGAGTAATTTCTTTTGAAATAAAAATGGTGTTATTTTTAACAACTCCAATGTATTTCTGTTACATGTAAAATCTTGGGTACTATTACAATCTATGTTGTATGCTTTATTCTGAAAAGAGCTCCAGATGTTTTTCATAATCTCAGCAGCTGTATAGGCAGGCAGCAGATGACTAACAGTAAACATTTCTGAAAATCATGTTCCTTTGGGTGTGAAGGGGAGAAACTGATGTCTAGTGCAAAGATGGAAATATATTCTGTGCACATTCTTTTGCAGAGTACACTGAAACCCGCATAGTCCGTGTGTGAACTGGTGATTTCACTATGATGCTTTTCTTCTTAGAAAACAGTAGTGAGAAGGAAAAATTTATGCCAAACTACAAAAGTCCTCACTACAGCCCTTTAACAACCTCTTACCAGCATGCCTCTCTTGGGCCGAACCACTGAATTTGGTAGAGAGCGCTGGCTGCAGCTTTAGGCTGTGGTCATTTTGAAATTGATTGCTGCTTTCCCACTGCTTCACCATTCCTGATGGTGAGCATGTTGAAATTATACAGTTTCTTCTTTGTCTTTCTGTATGTCCTTTGGCACTAGTGTCTGTGTTTTCCTGTCTTTTTTTTCCTAGGGGGAGTCTTCCCCCTGTGTAGCCTTCCCTGAGGCCATGTGAATTATGGCTTGATTTAACTCTGAGCAGAGCATAATCCAGATTCTGGAACTATGGGTTGTCCTTCACAGGTCTGTTTTATCTTTTAAGTTTAAAATTAAATTTTGTATCACAAACAAAAAGTAGAAAGATCTGGGCTTTACTATAACACGGTTGAAGACTCAGTTCCTGTCTATTTCCCATAGATATTGTTAAATCAGTTAAAGTTACTCTTCAGTTTAAATTATAGCTTTTATAGTTTAGGCAGGTTTTCTGCCTGTGCAGTGAACCAGGAGGTTGCATTGTTATGCTCTGTATTTTTTCTTGAAATATTCAGCTTGCAGGGCTGGGATAGGTTCCTCACTAGGGAGAGATGACACCCAACTCTAAAATCTCAAAATACCACCCTGGAAGATGAGAAAAAAACCAGCCTATTTTGTCATCTAAGTACAGAGAATGAGCTGAACTACTTATTCAATTATGTCAAATGATAAGCATTTGCTTATTAAACTATGTAAAGTGAAATTAAATTAGAGCAAGTAAGAGATTACATTATGTAAAGCAATTTTTAAAACTGGGTAATGTGATCACCCTTCATTAATTACATTAAGTTCAGAATATTGAATATTGTGCTATTATTAAATTAATGGAAATACTTATAATGATGGACTAACTAAAACATAGTTTGCAAGTGAAGGTACTACTTTTCATATTTCTTTTCCAGTATTGGCTATTGGTGCAATGCTGCTATTTCTTTCAAAGTGAAAGCTGAGATTTCACTGTAACTTTTCAGCTGTTATTTGTTCTTATAGGTAAAATTTATAAACATTACTTGTGAACATCTTTCACAGGGCCTCAAAAATGGGGAGAAAGGTACCAACAATTACCCATCTTGGCAAGGGGTGGAGGAATGGGAGGAAATAGTTACTAAAATTGCAAGCTTATAGGAAACATACTAATATATTTTGAAAATAAAAGACTGTCATATCTTTCTACAGGACTGATTTTCTATTTTGCAGATAGATGAGATGAAACCGTCATGTCTGATTATTATATTAAGTCTTTTTTAGAGTGGGAAAGGGAGAATAAAAAATATGATCCTGTTGTCCACACACAGAGGTTGAAATTGCATACTACCCGGTTGGCCTGTTTCCTCATGATTATACTGGACTGAGGAAAAAATATTTCCTTCATATCTCTTTGGATTTCCCCTTCTGCTGCTCAACCATTCATGTTGTAGAATTGGGTTGAAGGTAATAAAAAAATATTAGAAATGGGATCCATCATTAAATCAGCTTATTTCCTCACAGTACTTAGTGAGAGAATATTTCTCTAAGGATTCAAATATCAATTTATTTGCTGAAGTTTAGGTATCCTTGTTGCCAGAACTTTGTGATGTTTTAAAGTATGTGTTCTTACTCTGTGAGCCAGGTGCAAAATTCTTAGGAACCTCTATTAACTTAGGAGTCTATAGAATTTTCTAATGAATCTTATTGTACAACTTAAGTCTAAAATACTCAAATGTGAGATGCTGATTATTTGCAGAGCTGTATAGCAAAAACAGCATCTCAAACTAGGTAGAAGTTACTGTGCAAGTGGAAAAAGTTATGCATAGAAAAGGCATCAGGTTTAAGCACGTCTGGAATATTGTCTTAAGTACTAGGAGTATATCCCTTAGCTGATAGAAACTGATTTTGTTGTGGTGTTTCTGTTTTTTGTAGGATTTTGATGCAGGAGTAAGCTGGCATATCTGTATGAGAAAGTCCCTGCCATTTCCCTTAAAAAAGAGTTCATTTTCTTTCCAGGACAGTGTGATGCAGATGAAAACAGTCCAAGGGTTTTTTAGAGATGCAGAGACCATGTAAAGACAAAATAGGAAATTAGAGGTATGGGAGAATCAGTGACTGCTGGGCTCTACCTGAGGAGAAAATGGTGAGAGAAATGTGAAATGTAATAGAATACAATAGTGACAAATTCACAAAGTAAAAAAGATAG